TTTCATCGTAACTTGGTTTTATTTATTTTGGTGTAGGAGCCCAGGAGCTTTACTCAATAAGAAGTCAGTTATTACTTACTACTACAACAGAGAAAGTAGCGGAAATGCCTGGCAACATATGTATTAAATTATATGAACCTTTGACAGTTCAGTCAGTTCAGCCAGGCATTTATCTATCACATGAATCATGTTTTTCACGTCAGCACACTTTGCTACCTTTGCTTTCCACTCCTCCCCCTTCACACTGGAAGGACAGCCCATAAATCATATGACTGGACACAAAAGATTGCACGCTGCGAAACACTCCTATTTCCCACAGACCTGGGACAAACACATCAAGACAGAACTCAAAGCCAACCAGAGAAGAACCAAAATGAACCTTCTTCCCACGTTCTCTACAGAGACATGGGCCTTCTTGCTTGTTTTCCTAGTCCTCCTGATAGCGTGAGTAAAATACTCGTTATTGGTTCTTTGCTCATGCCGTTTTCCTGTTCTTGCCGTTGTTCGTTTTTCTGCAGCTAGTCTGCTGAAGAGCAAACAGGTAGGTGTGATTTCCAGATTTCCAGCCTCTAACGAGGCTCTGGGAAGTAGCGGAGGAGTCTAAAGACTGTACAGATGCGTGATCTTCCTCCAAGCTTTGGAGTATTTGCGTGCGCTGTTACGATCTCGCTGCTAAGCATCAAAGCCGTAATCGAATAACAATGGTGCCAGGCATTCATTACCAGCAGGGTGCTGGCTTCAGGGAGGATCGTGATCCGTTGATTGGGTTATATTCCACAGAAATACAGTCCGAGGAAGGCTGTGCCTCCCTGACTGAGGTTGTCCTATGGAGAGGAGCAGATGACCCTGCTGCATGACCTGCAAAGGTGGAGAGCAGCAGAAAGGCACCAGGAAAGGAGCATTCGTAGGATCAGTTCTTACTGCTCCTCCCGTGGTGCCCAGGTAAGACGCTCCATGTACGGGCAGCTGGACCAGAAGGGCCAGTTTGCAGAAGTGAGATTTGCCACGTGCTTGTAGGGTCAGCATCCCCTGCCCGTCCCCACAGCCCACCCTGGCCGAGGGAAGAAATGAAGCCCAGACCAAGGTCAGCTCTCTGCTCATGGCTTTTCAGACAAGCTCCAACAGGCAGAAGCGTATCCCGCTGCGTCAGAGGAGCCGTGCTAGTAAGAAAATGCTTCCATCTGCTTTGCTGATGCCATTCAGCGCTGCAGCGTAGCAGGGCTGGCTGAAAGCCCCCTTCTGCTGGGACATACAGCATCTCCGCTGGCAGCCCCTGCCAACATGGCTGGACTGACAAACTTTGCAGTGTTGACAAGCCCTTAGGCAGAGACAGCATGTTGCTGGCCATAAACCTTAATGATTAATGTGGTGCACACGAGCACAATCCATTTGTCTGCCCTGGTAATGCTTCAAGTGTGGCGGTTCAGTAAGCTCTGAAACTTTTAGCCCTGGTTTTTTGAACCCTTTCCTGTGATTTGGATCACTCAAAAGCCTGTTTGAGGCAGACTCTTTAACAAAAAACCAAACCCCACTCTCATTATTGACCTAAAGTCTCCTATTTCAATAACTCTGTGGCCATCTAAGGTTGCTGTTTACCACACTCCCACTTTCTGCAGCCACTTGCAGTTTTGTTGTGGCAAAAGGTACAAAGCCTGGATCTTTGTACTCTGATATCTGAGCTAAAATAGAAATTTCACTGCCCATGACAACGGGGAGGTTGTTCAGATGCTGGACAACTGGGGCAGCACTGTTCCAGTTCACACATGAAGGAATATCAGGCATTTCTGGTTCACTTCCATGGTGAGAAGTAGTAATGATTATTGTCTGCCTTTAGACTGAACGGTCCTTCTCAGCCTGCAGAAAACCGTGTCACATTTTAGTTGTAAAAGCATTAGCCTGCGTTTTCCTAGCCATGTTTCAAACTAATTTAGTCTAGCCTACGTTCCTGTAGTGTTTCTGGGCTTTGTAACCAGGCCAGACTGGCATTGCCTTGTCCTCCCGGAGCCCTGGCTGCCCACAGAATTCACAAACATTTTATACTTAGCACTGAATTAACCTTTGACAGAAGAGGTTAAACACTGACAAAATGAGCTCTGCGAAACCTTTCTGCACCTGCCAACACCCCATTGCCTGGTTTTTGCCTGCTCTGTTTGGACCAGAAGATGAGGTCCACTTTTGTGCTCTGGCAGAACCTGAGCTTGGGGGAATTTGGGGTCCGTCAGATTTAGAAAAGTGTTACTCATTGCAGGGGAAACCTCCCTAAGTCTCAGCCTAGACTCTGGCTTTTCAGGAAAGCATCTCCAAGATGCTGGCTGAGCGGCTGCTGCCATGTGGCCCAGAGATGATCTCTGATAACATCTCTCTGCCAAACCTTTGCGGTTTTACATCCCTTCTGCAATGAACTGCTCACTTGGGAAGCTGCAGCTACTAACTAAAAACAAATATTTTGAGGAGCTCTTTCAACACAGCCAAAGGAAAGCTTCAAAGGGCTGCAGCCCAGGCCCTTGTTGAGAAACAGCCAGCCCCGAGGTAGAAGTAATAACTTTACAGCTGCCAAAAAGGGTGCTTCAGAGGAAAGAAATCTGCAAAGCTGTCAATAAAATCTAAAGAGAAAACCATCAAGTCAAGAATTCCTGATATGCCACTGAGTGAATGCTGGGCTAAGGAGAGGGAGAACAGTAAATGAAATTACAGTGCAGCTTGACAAAAACCCTGTTTGGGACATAACTTCTGGCAATGCTTTGATTTCTCTTCAATAAAATCATGTAAGCTTGGTGTTCCTTCTTCCAGCTCCCTTTTCTGCCTCTCCTTTGGTTGATAATACGCTCCTCTCTTGACTTTTGCTAAAGGCTTTAGGTCCTTTTTCCACCGGAGCACCTATGCCTTCAGGAGACAGCTGCTTTCACAGCAAAGTGATCTCTCCGAAGCTCTGTGTGGCAGCAGTGAGCCTTACCACATTCATTAAGTAATTTTTACAGGTGAATTTTCTTTTGGGCTGCTTTTTTCCAGCTCCTGGATCAGCCTCCTCTACTCAGAGCCAAAGGGACACTGCTGCACTCTCCGAGTTTAGGAGAGCTTGCAGCCCCAGTGCCACGGTGATGTAGCCTTTGGTTGCCCTTTCTATCCCACAGATATGGGACCTGGCCATTTGGTTTGTTCAAGAAGTTGGGTATTCCTGGGCCAAGACCTCTGCCTTTCTTCGGGACGTGCCTGGAATATCGCAAAGTAAGTGACTGAAAGCCTTCCTGGCTCCAGAAATATCTGCCTTTGCTCATACAGCTGTAGCTAAACAGATACACGGCGATGATAAGTTATCTCCAAATGCCAAGCTTCGCTCTAACGCACAGATTGCCCAAAGGCTGGTGCAGGATAAGGGCTCAGTAACAGAGATCACGGGACCCTGCCTTTACAGCATCTCCAAACGAGCACCCGGGGGTGGCTGATGTACAGCTGCCCTTTGCCCGCGTCCTGGCAAACAGCTCATTCACAGGCGTGATGTACATTCATGCTGCCCTTCATGATGACTTTGGAGAGGAGGAGAACTCAGAAGGCAGCTCTGAACATAAGTTTACAGACACCCCTCGCAACCCACCATCGCTAACATCACCCCCTCTGCTGCAGCCTTTCTAAGATAATTTGTAAATTGCTTTCCGCAGGGTTTCTTGGAGTTCGACCATGAATGTTTCCATAAATATGGGAAAGTCTGGGGGTGAGTATGAACCACTGATCTCTTCTGAAGCTGAAACTAGAACCCCTACAAAGGGGAGAAAAAAAAATGCATTAGGAAAGCTCCCTTTTCTCTGCCTGCACTGCTGATGGTCCCAGCACAACAAGTACAGTGATGATAGGGTCCTCCTGGTGGCTTACGTTCAGGCCTGATGACTGCAGGGCTGTGCTGCTGTCACGCTATACAGAAATTGCTTTGACCTATACTATGAAAGCTGTTTTAAAGCTGATAACAAAAGGCCCTGGCCTGCTCCTAACAAAACCAGCAGCAAAACTACTATTTACTTAAGGGAGAATCTGGAACTGGGAGGTTGAGTTCCTCTGGTTTGCCAATAGCACAGGAACGTGACTGACTCCCAGTACTGAGAGAAGCAGCAGATCTAAAGTCTGCCGACTTCCTTGTGCCACTAGTCCTTCCCTGCTGCGCTGGAAGCTCACGCAGCTATCGTTGCTCTGCTCTGGACATCTCCTATGGCTTTTATCACCACTGTTATAACTTGGGCTACAAAATTGTATATCCTCTATAATGCATCCATTGGTCCCTATAGAAACTTTAAAAAATGGAGTCTGGAAAGTATCTCTTCACATAAACAGGGAAAGTGCGTAGATCCACTTAATCTACATCTGTTCCAGGGAAGCATTCAGAGCTGGCAGTTTAAAAAGACAAAAACAAGGATCGAGTTTCATCTCCAAGGATATTTCAGTGCTGTCAGCCCGAGTCTCCAGACACCCAGTTCAAGAGCCTGAAAGGGGTCGAACAAGTTTCCTTCTAATACTGTAATGTGTTTAAGTGCCTGGAAAAACACAGAGAGTCTGGGGAGAAAGTGAAAACTCTTGCTTCGTTTAGTGTCTGGTCCTTGAAGGGACTGAGCTCTGCTCCTTTCCCAGTGAATTTGGACGGTGTTTAGCCCCCTTTATAATTTTCAAAACCAGAGGGAAGAAGGCCTGGGAGTCCTTTTCTGTCTCTACTTTCTACATTTCTGTATTTAGGCATCTTCAGAGCAGCAAGGCTGGTGATGGAGGAGCATTTTTTTAATGCATTTTGTTTCATGGACATCAGCTGAGCCTTGTACTTCAACTGTCTGGGGTTGTTTAATGTCTCCTCTTCTCCCCCTGCCAGGATTTATGATGGCAGGCAACCTGTGCTGGCTGTCATGGACCCCCAGATCATTAAAAATGTGCTGGTTAAAGAGTGCTACTCCACCTTTACCAACCGGAGGGTAAGAGCAGAAGCATCGTGGTGTACCACAAAGTCCAGAAAACAGCGGACAGGGGGAGACAAGCCTGTCAAGCATGTAGCAGGGCTGCATAGGGGCCGAGTGACTGCGCTATAGGGACTGCTGTAAATGGCCACTGTATGTCACTGTTCCCCTGCCTTACAGCCGGGGGACGGCACAGCCAGGCTGGCAGAGGAAGCTGTTCACCTGCACCTCAGACAAATGCTGCTCTCACACCCATATATACATATATATGGATGAATTAGAGTCTGTGGGAGCATGCAGGAGTCCATAAGGGTCCAGCTAGCACATGTGCCAGCAGCTGGGATGCAGGCTCTGGGTGGCACGGTTTGGGGTGGGTGTGCATCTACGTTGAGCTTGTTGGGTTACTTGTCCTGGATATGGAAATGACATCTCACAGCTGGTTTATTGCAGGAAAGGGCTTTATTTATATATGTGGGTCTTGAGAGAGGCTGTTTGCCAGGCCTTAACCTGCTGCCAGTAGTAGTGCCCCTGAAATAGCCTGGGCAGGGCTACGTGCTACATTCCCATTCTTGCAAGGAAACCACTATCTTTTCTGGGGTTAACACCTTGTCTTTTTCCCCTCCAGCCTTTTGAACTTGTAGGGGTGCTGAAAAACGCCATCTCATTAGCTGAAGACGAACAGTGGAAAAGGATTCGTACTGTGCTTTCCCCAACCTTCACCAGTGGGAAATTAAAGGAGGTAAAACACAGAGAGGCGGGTACAAACTAGACCAGCAAGTCAGCAGACAGTGATTCCAGGTTGAGATTGTCACAGGGGTCCAATTTCTTTAGTGAGAACCTGGTAACTAAGCTGGTCTGTTTAACTTATGCCTAACGTGAACCAAAAAAAGGCTTAAAATAAAAGCTTAGCAGAAAGATCTTATTTGTAGATATTAATGAAATTCCCTGCAGTCTTCATAAGCCTGTCTTAAATGAGTAAAATGGACTATACCTAAGCGACCATCTCTGGTTTGTGTTACAGATGTTCCCTACAATGAAACACTATGGAGAAGTTTTGGTGAAAAATGTTCAAAAGCGAGCGGAAAAGGACAATGCTCTCTCTGTAAAGGAGTAAGTAGGTGCTAGGAACAGCAGGCTAAGCAGTAAACCTGGTTAGCAAGTGCTGTGGTTTGTTCGTTACCAGCGACACAGATCACTTGCTGGGTAAACCAGATCTCTGAAATGAGAAACTGGGCTAGCTGAAAGCCAGGCTGGAAAGCCAAAAGGGAAAATTCAAGCTGGGATGTTACTGAAACTTCCTAGAGGCAGAGATCTACAGAGACGTCTTCTAAAGGGAATGGGGGAGGAAACAAAAAAAGCTCCAGCACAGCTTTGTGAATCCACAGATCCAAGATAACCCCAAATCCACTAGAAAAACCCAGTTTTCCCCCTATATACCCTGGGTATCTGTGCACCACCTTCTTATACCACAGGGCACAGGGTTTGCTGACCTCCCAGTCCCACACCCAGCACTGTGGGATGCTCATCCATCGCTTCCCCCATTGCTGGGGGAAGTGAGGAGGGAGGATGTAGTGTGGCCCTAGGTGTGTCATCCTCATCTGTGCCCTCCAGATGGGCTCCAAAACCTGTGCATTTCACCCCCAATTTCAAAGCAGGGATGCAGAAAGGGCAGCTGCACACCAGCAGTCACACACTAGCAAAGATCTCCCCTACCAAAAATCCCGTAAGGAGAGGGTTTGGACAGTTTGCACCATTATAGGTACCTGTGCTGGGTTGAACAAGACCATTTCCATGGTATGTTTGAAGCAGGTTGTGTTACCACCCCTCGCCAAGAAACTAAAATCCTTGAGAGCCTCATGCTGTCCTTGCACGCACCTGCTGATGTAGCTACACGCAGTTTTAAAATCCTTGGAAAAACTGTCCAATTTCAAAGCCTGTGCAGTCTTGAAACCAAACTCTAAAAATCTATCCCTTTCACTGCAAGTGCTTTTCCATTACCATATAGCAAATTTCCTTTTCAAAACCAGGGCAGGAGGTCTTATGAGAATTTATATTTGAATGTCACATAGGCATCAGAAAGGACTCTATTCACTTGGTCCAAATATTTAACCACAGGCTATCTTTTCCACCTTTTCTTAGCATCTTTGGAAGCTACAGCATGGATATCATCACCAGCACTTCATTTGGTGTGAACATCGACTCCATGAACAACCCCAAAGACCCCTTTGTTAGAGAGATGCAGAAGCTGGTCAAGTTTGACTTTTCTGACCCACTCTTCATCTTTGCATGTAAATGACTTGAAAGCTTCATTCAGGTGTCAGAGTACTACTGAAATGGGACTTCAGCAAGCAGATCCTATTGATTAATGACTCGACTATTGCTTAGATAACCTCACTAGCTAGTATGGAAGTCCTAAAGGCTCTTGTGTCATCATTTTCTCATTGTTAGCTTCATGCTAAAACTCTGGGAAGGAGACAGGTAAATGCTTCCCTCACCTTTGGCGTCCACAGTGCAAGAAACATTTGGATGTTGGCTGGGATGTTCATATAAGTGCTGGAAAATGATTCTAGGGTTGAAAAGCAAGTTCAGCTGTGAGGCTTGAGGAGAGTGATGCTATCTGAAATGCATTTTCTGGAAGAGAGTGCTGAGTGGGGACTGTAATTAGATGCAATTTCCTAGCAGTGCAATAGCTTAGCAGCAGTGGTGATGGACCTTAAAATCACTTGCAACCTTAAATCAAGATTAGATACCTAGCTAAAGCACAGGGAAAGTTGTGATCTGTGCATAGAGGAGGTTCTGGTGCTACAGATTTTCTGAATCTATACACAAGCTCAAGATCAAGTCTCTATGAGGAAGGAAGTACTCTGAAAAGGACTCGAAAATGTTTGTATGAGCACAGCGTGGCAGCAAATAGCTCAGCCTAAAAGAAAAAGAGTTCAGAATTTGAAATACTTGTCTTCTGAGCCACATTCCTGTTGTAGTGCTGTCCTTAGAAAAAGAAAGTGGCATGTGCTTTCGGCTTTGGTCATGTCTTAAAGCAAAGATTATACCCAGCTCAGTTGTGCCCAGCTGACAGGTACTTGGGAGAGGGTTGCATCAAGACAAACTGTCCCAAGGGAAGAAAAAAGGAAAAAAGGCAAGGCCTAGGCTTCTCCCAGGTAAATAAATGAAGAAAGAAAATAATTTCTTAGTAGCATCATTAGTTCCTCAGTGACAACCATAGCTATCTTATATGAGGCAGAGTTTGTTTACAGTGTGTGATTTTATTTTCAATTTGTTTTTCAGTTGTATTCCCAATATTTATTCCTCTTTTGGCCAAGATGAATGTAAGTGCCTTCCCCAGTGATGCTGTAGATTTCTTCATAAGATCCATCTCCAAAATTAAGCAGGATCGTGAAAAGGAGACTTACAAGGTAAATGAGCATGAAATGAATTTGCTGGCAGTTGTGACAGAAAATACAATTAAATGAAATCTAGAGTGATGATATCAAAGGTGAAGTCAAAGCAGAATGACTCAAACCCCTGAATCTACTGAAGTGTAAACACTATTTTAATACTGTCAGAAAAGCCTCATCTGACCAGTCCTGGCAGGGAAGCAAGTGGACTCTGTACACCCATGATCTGAAGCTAAATCCAGATAAAGGCTCAGCAGAACTGCATTAAGCTTGGGTTCGCAGAACTTGTAATATGTCAAAGAGGAGACTCTCTATAGAAGATTAGGGAGAGGATAATAGAGGGCGGAATAAGCAGCACAAGAGCAGCAATATCACCTTTCAGCGTTGTGCTGTCCCTTCTTACTTTTCAAAAATTGAAGCTGCTTCCTGATAAAATTCTCCCTTTTAGAGTTTGGGTCCCTTTCCCATTATTCATTCGAGACACTGCTTTCCTATGCAGTAGCTTCATGAAAAGGACAGATAGGTTTCCAAAATAAAATGCAAGAGTTGTGTTTTACGACAAGGAACTCACATATATTTTGGGGATGCTTTCAGTTCAAAAATTTTGCTTAGGCTGTGAAATTTGCTTCTCTGAGGCCCCCCGAGGGACCTGTCACCAAAGAAACTCTCCTGCTTTTCTTCTCAGGGCAGAGTGGATTTTCTGCAGCTGATGATTGAATCCCAGAAGTCAACCAGTCATGGGAGCAATGAAGCAAATCACTCATATAAATGTAACAACATTCAAATATTCATCACAGGAGCAGGGGCTGTGGGAGCAAAGAGAACATGGGGAGCTGTTTCCCTGAGAAAGGCTCAATGGCTCACCACCATCTCGACTGCCTGGAGCTGGTCAGAAGTTTGTCCCTTGTTGCCAGCACCAGGACTAAGTGGAATCTCCCAGGTCCTTTTCCAGGGAATAGGACTGCCATGGCAGTCATCCGACTCCTCTATCAAATGACTTTTTCCACACAGATAGCAGAGTAGCTATAAATGTGTTAGCAGAAAACCACCACAACAAATCTGCCTCAACCCCACCTGTTGCTACCTGTTCCTGCCTTCCATCAGCCAACACCAGTTTTGCTCACCTCCCCGTGTCCTCTCTCCTCACAGCCCTGACTGACATAGAGGTCATAACGCAAGCATTCATCTTTATTTTTGCTGGATACGAGCCCACCAGCAACTTGCTTGGTTACCTGGCGTATGAACTGGCTGTGCATCCTGATGTGCAGCAGAAACTGCTGGAGGAAATCGACACCATTTTACCCAACAAGGTAAGGGGACCTTGAGTGATGGTGAAGACCCTCGGACCCTGCTGTCGTTGCTCAGTCAAGACAATAAAAAATCTTTAGCTCCTAAACACCCTCCTCTTGGGTTCCTCCAACAGCTCTGAGACACACACACCGAGAAAACTCCACCCTGTAGCGATTTTATTTTGGCAGCTGAAACCTTACAGGCCACCCCACTGCACAAAACCATTTGCCGCACTCCGCACCCACACACAAGTAGATGTGGATTTCCAGGCATTTCCATCACTTGGGCATGGAAAATGAAACCAATTACACAAGTTCCACCTTGCATTTTGTTCTTCAGTGAGTCCGACTCATAGCTGGGGCAGCAGGGGCTGGGGACGCTCTGATCTCAGCAGTCATTCTGGGACAATCCAATCCTCATGCCAACATACCTGGTCACCGTTCTCCTGTCGTTCCACAGGCTCCTCTCACGTACGAAGCGGTGATGCAATTGGACTACCTGGACATGGCAGTGAGTGAAACCCTTCGGCTCTTCCCCCTTGGAGGACGGCTTGAGAGAGCCTGCAAGAAAGACGTACAAATAAATGGAGTCACCATTCCCAAAGGAACCGTTGTTATGATCCCACCCTATAGTCTGCACCGCAACCCCGAGTACTGGCCAAACCCGGAAGAGTTCAGACCAGAAAGGTACAAAAAGTGTAATGAAAGGGAAGGGAGATCATGCTGCGTTTTCCTCACGTAGTAATTAAGTATTAATCACCGATTAGCTTCCTAATGGTGTTCTTCCTATCTTTTTACCAACAATACCAATGAGAAATTGCAGGCTCATGGGAATGTCGTTTTAAGAAGAAAATGAGCTTTGCAGTTACAGCAGGGGTTTCAAACAACATAATCTTGCTCGGAGAATAACATTGATACAGTATCTTGTACACAGTTTTTGGGCTTGCTAACAGAGTGGGTTGATTGGAGTTTTTTGTAGTTGCTAGCCATCTTTCTGTATAATCTTCATTGGTGAACCTGTTTCCATCACACAGACTTTGCTACAAAACATACCAGAGCTGATCCTTCCAGAGTGGCCTTCCCTCTTTGTTTTCAAGGAAGTGATAGCTTTTCCCAAGTTAGTAATTTTTACAACTGGTATCGATCTCTCATTCCCAGCAAGACTGAACCTACAGGCTGCTCCCAAGAGATAACCCATGGTTTCTCTCACTAAACACAACAGATAGGAAATATCAGTCATTTGGGGAGAGCGTGTAGATTTTGACATTGTTCCTAACTTCTACTCTGGATGAACAGAGCTAAACTAAACATTGAAATGGGATCCCACCCCATCCTGGATGAGGGCTCTGACACAGCGCTCGATTGCTGGAGTATGCTGAGATACCTTAGCAAAAAACTAATCAAGTCTCCATAGACCACCAGAAAGAGATCTCTGGAAAAGTAATATAGATATGTACTTCCTGCTGCCTTCATTCTGTTCGCCAACCATGTCATTATCCAGGTTCAGCAAGGAAAACAAAGAGGCCATAAACCCGTATGTGTACCTGCCCTTTGGAGCCGGTCCCAGGAACTGCATTGGGATGCGGTTTGCTCTCCTGTCTCTGAAAATTGCCATCACCATGCTGTTGCAACATTTCACCTTCCAGACCTGCAAAGAAACTCAGGTGAGGAGCAGGTTACATCTTGAAACTCTCACATGAAGAGCCAGGTGCCTGGTTTCTCACCGTGGGCACCAACACCAGTTGCTTTGCACTTGCAAGCAGTATGGAAGAAGTTAGGACCAAACCATGGCCAAGATCCTTTCCTTTAATCTCTACTTATTTGTCTGTCTCCAAATGTGCTTTTCCTCTTATTGTTGCAGATCCCTCTCAAGCTGAGTTCACAGGGACTCTTAACACCAAAGAAACCGATTATTCTGAAGTTAGTCCCCCGGAGCAACACTGCACCTGCAGAGGCGTAAAACCCAGCTGCAACTGCAAAGTTCTCCAGCATCTAATGAGTGCTGTGCTAACAACGGGATCACGCATTGCAGGAAGTCTGTCCTACATGTACAGGCACAGAAGAGCAGCTCTTGTTAATGCTGGAAGCAATTACTACATATTTACTAGTAAACATAGCTGTCAGAAATGTAATGTGGATCACTGGGCAGTGACAATATACAGTCCCCTTAATTTTGACTGCAGAAAACAAGAAATTAATCCAAATGAGAAGCTAATCATCCACTTCTAAGGGGACTTCTCAATCTGGGGAGAAGGAATTGCTGTCACATCCCAGAGAAACAACCATCCGTTTCCAGATGGAAATTCAGCTTGCCAGACCTTGCTGGGCAGGGACAGGTGATGTTCTGCTTGGTGTGTTGATGCTTGAAATTTCCTGTCTTATAATTGAGCTGACTGGTTTGAGACTATATCCTAGTTACCAAACCTCTCTTGTGCCATGTGTTAATTAAACTAAAGTGTGTACAAATACTGTCATTAAAAATGTTTGAGAGCAGCTCTGTGTTGTGTATAGCGGCTGATCACTTCCTATTTAAAAACCGTATTCAGCCTCAACCCTTGAAATTATCCATGTACATTGCTTCCCACTTAATTTAATGAATCTGATCCTTCATTTAACGCGATCAAACCCTCCCATTTGTACAGTATTTTACAAACACTATAACTCCCATCTCTTAGTTTGATTAAGAGGTTGCCTTCAGTTCAGCACTAGCCAACCCTCTTCCGCACTGGAGCGACGGAGGATGGATTGCAGAGAGCAGCAGAAGCAGCTCACAGGAGGTGGTGACAACGCAGGAGGGCCACTGCTCCTGAAGAAATTGTCTGGACACAGCTTGTAGCTGATTCTTGCCTCCTCCCAGAGCCAGGGATGGGGTTTATGTGTTGCCCATGATGGGGTGTCAGTCTGCTGCAGGCTGCTTTGCTCTTGAACTGCTCCAGAGCTTGTGCCCTATGGGCTGGTCCTGCCATCAGCATGATGATTTGACCAAAAGAATTATACCACCCCTGATCATAAGTCTCTGATAGACTTCTGCCATCCCTGATCATCATTACCAGCTGAGGCAACTGGGATTTGTTTAGTCTGGAGAAGAGGAAGCTGATGGGAGACCTTATTGCTCTCTACAACTACTTGAAAGGTAGTGAGGCAGGTGTTGGTCTCTTCTCCCAAGTAACTAGCAATAGGATGAGATGAAATGGCCTCAAGTTGTGTCAGGGGAGGTTTAGATTGGATATTAGGAAAAATTTCTTTATTGAAAGAGTGGTCAGGCATTGGAACAGGCTGCCCAGGGAAATGGTAGAGTCACCATGCCTGGAGGCATTCAAAAAACATGTAGATATAGTACTTCTGGACATGGTTTAGCAAGCATGGTGGTGGTATGTTGATGGTTGGACTTGGTGATCTCAGAGGTCTTTTCCAACCTTAATGATTCTGTATAAACAGGGAATATCAAAAGGCAGGTGTGAGGTTCTCCTGGACCTGAATTTCACATACCAGTTAACCCCAGTATATCGAGCTGGTCCTGACACAAACTAAGAAGGATCCTTGTAAAATTGGAAAGGTTTTTTAAAAAGAACTGCACACCAGATTAAGTTACCCCTTAACCTTCTGCTGGCATCCTTCACTCCAAGGCAATATTTTCCAAATCACAGTCTATAATTGTCCCATGGCCACATACTTTCCTCTTTAGTCAAGCAGGTAAAACTCCAATATGACCCAAACGCTACAATTCACCATAATACAAATTTATTCAAGAATTAATGTCCATTCTTTACCAATGATGGCAATTAAGGAGCTTGAGAGTGGTCAGCCAACAGTGTGGTGGATTCCTGATCACTGGAAATCCTGAAAACAGATTTCCATTTTTCAGGAAGATACAGCAACATTCACTAGGCTCTAACTGAAGAGTTAGCAGCTTGTGCTGTCCCAAAAGGCAGATAAAACCATTATAGTGCTCCCTTCTGATTCATCATCTGTGAAAAATTGTTTGGGTTTTGCTATGTACATAGAAAGGCGTAGTTAGGAGTGCTACCCATAAGGCCCTTCCTCAGCTTAAACTGTTGCTCATCTCAGAACGGGTGTTAAAAAACCTTCAGTGGAAGAGCTGGGCCTGTCTTGCTGTTGCAGTTCTGCAGCAGCCAGCTCTGATGCATAGACTAGTTTAAAAAAGGCATTTTCCCTGCAGAAAAATAGTGCTAGGGAAAACTAACTCCCAATTCAAGGAAAGGGAAGGAAAGGTGAAACCATCGTGACAGCAACAAGACACAAGTCAAACAGCTGCTTTGACATGAGGAAAAGTCACTTTGTTACCTCATGAACAAAACCAAGTTCCTTTGCATGGTTCTCAGAACCAGAAAGGGTCAATCCCGCCGTACCCCAAGACAGACAGTCCCTGCCTAGTGTGTGGATTCTCCGGGAATGAAGTCATTAGTGTAACTGTACAGATCATTCCTCTGAATGGGACAAATGTGACTAATCCTCTAGCTTCAGCCAATTATGACCTGCTAGGCCTATCATAACAGCCCATAAATAATGTGTAACAAAATCATGGTAATGAGTCTTCTAGAAGAGAATTAGATCCTCTGTGTCTTAACTCCATAAAATTTGCTCGTAAGGGCTGCCTCCAATTCCTAGTTCTTTCCACTGCTTCGCTGGCCATCCCTCAGAAACGGATGTGACTTGGCCAGGAGCCTGCTGGTCCTGGTCTTTGTGCATTCACCAGATTTGTTTTCACTGGTTTGGCTGTTTCCTGTAAGCCAGACATATTACTGTTTAACTTGACTTACACATGCATTCACTGATAAACCATATTTACTTTATCTAGATCTTGCTGATTGCTTTAACTGTTTCAACACTTCCTTGGCAGGCCTGGGACATCGTGTTGTCCAAAGATAGACAGGTCTTTGTCAGAGGAAAGAGCTTCCAAACACAATACAAAGTAGAAATTAATTTTGAGGACACTTCTGCTTCAATTCCTCCCCTAAATCCTCCCAAACCCTAAGAACAAAAAATTAAAGAATGAAGAAAAATCTATGTTACATCAACATTTTAAAAAATACACTTTTCTCAAAGATTTTACCACTGTGCCTCATCAGAGAAGCCATTATCAAATGACTGTGCAAGCGTAACAGACTCACCCCCTGGTAAAACGTTAGCATCACTCAGGCAGACTTCTGTAAGTATGCAGAAATATATTGCCCTTAATACAGAAAGGCTTGCTGGGGATTTTCCAAGGAGATATATACCCCATGATATGAGAACTGTTATTGTATTAGTCCTGGTGAAAGACAAAGATGGTTCTAAGTGGGGAGATTTGTTTTCTGCTTCTCAGTTAACTATAGCAGAGCAACCACCGATGTTACAGTAACTTGCCTAAATGATGCAATGCTTCCAGTTGATTGCAATGATCAAATGGATTTTATGAAAAACAGGTTTCCTGCTTACAGCAGAGGAATATTTCATGTGCTTCATGAAGTCAGTTATTAGATGTTTCAATACCAGGCTGAGCCCTGACAGATAGAAGAACGGCCTGACTATTACCAAACTAAGTGTCCCTAAAGTATTGAAGTCTTTTGCAATTCCACCTTGCCTTTAAAGTGAAAAATGAAACATTTTCAGGCATATTTCACCTGAAAGGAGGAATAGACAGTATTGCTCCTTTTATCTTCCCCTCTACTGAAGCACAGATTCTCTACAGATACTCTGGCTCAGAACCCTACAAGTCAGAAAGCGCCCAAATCAAAAAGCCAGCACGCAGAATTTGTTTAGTTCTCACAGTCCCTGCTTCCTCCCTCCATCTCCCTGTTAGAATCAACAAGCCAGCATGGGGAATTACCAGGGTATGACAGACAACTTGGAAACGAGGAAAACCTGTAGCTGAATTTATGCGCTGACATCACCTTTATCTGCTGTAATGGAGAGAATTAGGCATATTGAGTCACTTGCCATACAGATATGGAATTTTGAAAACCCTTACTATTGCACAAATGTTGACAGGTTATTTTATTTACTACATCATTAAAGGTTAAAGAGGCTCATTCTCCAGAGGATTCACTTTTTCAAGCCCTAATATCAATTAAAGCTAATTTCAGCTCTACCCTAATGATATAACATAAAATATGGAAAAAGCTCTAACTGAGCATTTCTTTTCATTGCTTCAATTCTCTTGCATTGCTGGGGCACTTTATAGATACTGATGCAGCTTTACATCACCCATGACAGAGTTAATTTTCCCCTCAGAGGTTTTTTTTGTTACTGAACACTTGAAGATGTTGCCAAGATGCACAAAATGCCTTTGGTGATACGGATCAAAGTTTTTATTTAACCTGTTCATAACTGATGATCAGCGACGTTCTCTGTAGGCTTTCTTACATGGCTGGGTACAATGCCTAGATACAAATTTATTTTGTTATATGACCTACAGCTTCTATATCATACGTGTAATGTATAAGCATATTCCAATGTATATTTGTGCAGTCAAAGTTAGCGATTGGAGAGGGGAGAACAATATAACTATTCAAGGGAAAATGAAAAACCTTGCCTGCCACTTATGAACTGAAGCCAGTCCAGTACAGCTGGATGCATTCACCCATCTTTGCTTGGCAAAACACTAGTTCCATCAACACTCCACAGAGTGCCCAGAAAAATAAGTTATAGTCCATCCCCTGGACTATATCAGGGCTTTGTGTAGCCCAGCTGAGAAGGCACAGCTGCCACACTGCAGCTCCTCCATCTGAGGGCTGGTTTTGCTCTGGAATCATAGGTAACAGGACTGGAAAACAGTTTTGGAAAACAGACCACACAGACCAACTGCCAGCATGGTGAGCAGGGTCTTGCACTAACTTGCCCTGAGCTTGTCTAACCTTTTCAGAACTTGTCTACTTGTGTCCTAATTTTGGGGTATTTATTGTTAACGCACACTAATCTGGGATCGATCTGTATCCAAAGGTCACAGCAAGAGCCAGA